TAGAGTACTCACGCAAATTGAACAGTAATCCTAGAGCTGTAGAGTCGAACTTTAGATCAACGACGACGGTAGAGATATTCGGATAGAACCTAAAGAAAATAGTTACTCGCTATTTGTTTACAACTAACGACATAAAGTCGAAGAGCAAGCAACGCAGGTGCGAGCCAAGCAAGGTATCATTGACACGCTTACGCTAATGCGCACAAAAGTAGTTTGTTCACCAAAGACGCAGGGTTGAACATAAGAAAGAAGATGTCAATAGTAGAAAACAAGGGACTTGTTGCGAATCTCCGGGTTAAAAAATGGCGTATTTCCCGCACTCCGTTTCCACAGAAGAGATCAGGAGGTAGGACGGTATGTCGCTCCTCCGAGGAGTATTGCTGCTGCGGGCGCACCTGCGAGAGCGTTATCGAAACTCCTCTGCAAGATTGCACAGAGCCCCTGGGATATCAGAGGGGCGCCTGGCCTCTGTCGCTGATCCCTCCGCCCAGTGACCCTGATTCACCGCTAATACGCAAAATGCGTCTCACAGCCTCGACATTCACTGTAAGCACACAAGAGAAACGGAGAACAACGTTATTCCAGCAAGCAGCGCAGTACTCTGATAAACGAAATCAAATTCAAGTTCACAACAGGAGACACCGCTGACTCACCTTTTCCCTGTCTCAGTCTTTGTCGGAGGTTTCGATGCCAATTCAATGAGCAGAGTATCTGGATTATTCAATGAGTCTCTAGCACACGCTGTAGTTCGATAGGTCAGAGTACAGAGCGCGGCGCATAGCGTTGCTAGAACCCAGAGACCACCTCACTATCACACCTCACGGCACACCCGTCGCGCCGCTCGCTCGGACGGCGACTGGCCACCGACGGAGCCGTCTGCCAGTCGGCGTCACGTGACCTGCACTGGGACGTCCCCGCTGTGACGTCACGCCGGGCCCAGCAGCCGCACCCCGGCCGGCCGAGTCGAGCGGCGACATACCGCACTTATCTGCATGACCCGACCACCCGGCGTACTGTGCACTTCTCTGTGACACGACCACCGTCCTCTGAATTCGCCGGAGGATTCGGACTCTTCTGGACGCTACCTGTTGCTTACTTTGATCTCATCTCCAAATGGTCTCTAAAAATATATTTCGGTTAGGTGTAGGTTTTGATATTCCATAGATCGGTAACATGAATCTATGGTGTATCAATTCAGAGCACAGCTGCTCCTACGTTCTGTCTAGTTTATTTGCTATCTATTCGACTGGGAATATGGTACAACATTACCACATAGCAAAGGAGTTGAAGATATAGTTTTTCGGTAGCATGAAGAGGAGAAAACATCAAAATCCAATCCCATTGCAACGAATGGCAGAAACCCAAAAAAGAACCAAAACATCAAAATCAAATGTCATTGCAACGAATGGCAGAAATCTACAAACAATCAGGCACAGAAACATTACTTCGTGAAAAGATGAACAGAAGCTGGCTGAACTGAGATCCACGGCTGCCCAGAGTTCCCGACGGAATTCACCGTCGTATCCCGCGTGAAGCGGTCTGCTCAAAATCCCAAATATTGTATGTATTTTTCAGGAAAAGTGAAAACCCAGATGCTCCTGCTGGGCTAGAGGCTAGCGACCGTGGTACCCATGTTGTTTCAATATACTTTGGTACCGGTCACCACGACAGGTGGAAGTAACAACCTAACAATCGACAGGCGTGTTAGTCTGGCATCAGTGTTCCGGGGCCGATCATGAGAGTCAAGCAATTGGTAAATCTGCTGCATGTGGAGCTGCGTACTTACCAATGCTCCAAAGGCTTTTCGCCCGACCCGTCTCGGGGACCCAGATGCTGCTGGTGGTTCAGGAATGGAGTAAGTCCCTTGAGATGGGAGACCCATCATCCAGTCAAGGTAATCAGCCTCGACATGGAGGAAACTTAGATCACTCTCCCAACGTCAGAAAGCTTCTCAAATATCGTCCTGATCAGAATGTTAGTCAAGAAGGTCGCATTTGAGAGCATCGAGGGAAACATCCTGAGATGAACGGAGTCTTTTTATTGGATTAAAAGCAAAGCGTCCTAGGCGGTGACTCCAGACCAGGACGAATGGACTGAGATACCCAATGGTCGTAACACACGTAAGTAAGGATCGGTCTTCGCAGGGCTTCGTCTAACGTGTAAATTGGGGGGGAGCAAACCCCCGCAGTCACCGGCCGGGGGCAAAATTGTCACCACTGGGGGGCCGGCAAAAGCGAAAAGGCAAACGAATTTTACTGCGAGTTGTCAGTGCACATAACAAAATACGTAAACGAAACATGGATGCAATGTGAGCACATTGATATACCTGATTACCTGTGGCTGTTTTCACGTGTTTATTTTGTTAACTTGATACCAAATACGCTACATTTCGTCTTTTTAGGCGACTCAACTCCGTGTCCCGGATATTCTCCTTTATGTATAAGTCTATTGTTTCTGTCATTGGGGCGACAATCAGTTGTTTCTACCTATCGTCATCCTCACTACGCGACGTCCAACTTCAGGCTGGACGGTCACCGGTGTGCGGCGAGAGTAGCTAATTGTAATGAAGCAGATTCCCATTCTGGGTGATCGTAAGCGCCTAGCTTGGTGGTCTGTCTCTGGAGACGGGAACGTATAGGAACGTTAACTGACAACTGGATTATCTTAAGAAGTCGGCATGGGGTCTCGGAGGGCATATGTTAGTCACTTAGGGTTCCACCGACCTAAATTGCACTACTACACTGGCCTCTGATTGTCTCAGAGTTATAGTCTCTAACGGCCCTAAGTTTGTGTCTGAGATCCACGGCGATTACGGAGAATCTACCTGAGAGCCATTAGTCTCAAAGTTGCCACACGGGCATTATCCTGGTTTGAGATGGCCCTACGTGGAAAAAAATTGCGGTCTTCACTCATATCTAACCCTCGTCCCTCAAAGCCTGGTATGGATTATCAATGACAAGTGTGGGCTACCAGAGACTGACGTGGGTCCAGAGGCTGGCATTGGCCCTGGAGCTCGGCACCGGACGATCAGAAGTCGGCGGGGCCCCATCAGAAACCGATGTGGTCCGAAAAAAGAAATATGCGTGCGGGCCCACAGGAGCCACCCGTCAGCCGGCGAAGGCCCACTGGGACACACCTACGTGGGACCTCAGATACCAGTGTAGGGATGTCGGAGAATGGCGCAGGGTTTTATAGGGTCCTTATAAGCCGGCATAGGCTCTCAGAGGTCGGCGTGGTGCCTAAAAAGGTCAGTGTGGCTCTTCTCCGTCAGAAACCTAGGTGGGGCTCTCAAGGCTGGTATGAGCCCTCAGCTATATCAGTTGGCCAAGAGACTGCAGGGCTGAGTTGGAGACCACAGAGATCAGAGGGGGCTTCTCAACTTTGTGAGTAAGCGCCAGCACTGTGCATGTACCTTGTACCGCAAAACCATTTCAGGGCCCACTTTTGCCTTGACTCATGCATCTACAAAAAAGACAGTAGATATACTTGCATGGTAAAGAAAGGACAGCTTTGCTGCTTTGCCGCTGGTTCTCGAATTCGCTGGTAGTAAATGGCTAAGATAAGGTTGATGTCCGGGTCATTCGAGGGTGTCAATTGTCGATTTTGCTAATTATTCTCAGAAAGTATTTGATTTGAAATATTCTAACTCTACCTGGCACGAACCAGAGAAGCGCACACCTACAAATAAGTGATAGCTCCCTCATAGCCATAATGGGAGCAGGATTCTTATAGATAAACGGAAGTAAGCCGTTAAATTTGAACTCCGATTGACGGTTACGCATTCATGAGAGGCTGAAATTGAATAAATAACACTTAAAAGAAAAGGTGTAGCAGTCCCGGGTTAAAAAACTACAGCTCTTCCATTGTACAATCATTACTGTCTGGTGTGGCTGGGGCAATAAGAATTGTGAGGGGGTTAAAAACTAATGTAAAACATAGATCAGAAGGCCTACTATTTTTCTTTTTAAGTTTCAAAAAAGAGTTAATGGTTTCAGGGCTGTGATGAAAAATAAGTGGCGTAAATCCGGTGAAAAAAAAAACAGGATTTGGGGGTACCCTATGTTTGGCTTCTTGAGTCTTAGCCCCCCCCCAGTGATTTCGAGGCCCTGGGTGACGCTGGGTCTTCGTCACACTCTTCTTTGCACCTCGGCGACCTCGACCAATTTGATCATGAAATCCTTCACTTGCCGATTGAGATAAGGATAGTACTAAGATAATCGCCCCTCAACCACAAACATTACCACACTATTTCATTGTACATCTAACAAAAATTAATAAAATGGCAAGATAATTCATAACAATAACACAGATCAATATAATAACACAGATGAGATCCAAAAATTAACTTACCCGACTAATGCATCTCATCACACAGACAGCATGATCTGATCCACTTCAAACTAAAAGACTAAATGGACTAAATAATCAAAGCCCACTAGTCCAAGGCTACACTAGTCTAAACTTCAGACGTCGTGAAGTCTAAAATCTATCAAATAAGTCAATTTACGGCCACTTTTCATCCCTCACTTCGTTGTAAATTTGGTCAATTTTCCAATAAACAACAATTTCATTTGTGCTTCATTTGTGGCGTGTTGCGCAGCTTTAGGCTCCCAAAACCTAATAAAGGTGCACTAAATCATTTATTTACCGATGCAAGCATAGGAATGATGCAAGTTTGATGATTTGGATGGCAATTTTTTATCAATATATTTTAAAAAGTAAACAAACAAAACTTAAAAATGCAGTCATTAAGACCAGCTTTTTAGTATGTCGACTAAGATAAGCTGGCAATGCTGCACGACGAGAGTCGAAAACAAAAACAACCGTCTTGTAGACTACTGCCATCTAGTGCCAGTTGTTCAATCCGATACTGCAATGTCATTTTACAATCAGTAAACAAAAAAAAACGTTTATCCTCAAAAGAATTATTTAATTAATTGAATGAGGAGCTGATTACAAATACAAAGGGTTATTTCATGACAGGCAATGTGATAAGAATTATAATATATCTGATATGGCAACGCTGTCGGGTCTTTTCGGTGTAAACTTCCGCCTGATCAAGAAGTCCTGAGTATTTATCAGGATGGCGGATTTAAAAGGAGAGGTATTTACGTTTATTTTATTAGTTTTGGTTGCACATCATCAGTTAATATCTCAGCACTGTTTTTCATAGCGTCAAACACTGGCGGATCCAGAAAAACAATCTTGGACGCTGCGGGGGCATATCCCCAAAAAAGTTTCTCCAAAGTTAAAAAAGTCATCGGATTTCGGTTCCTCACACATTGCTGCGCAGTTTAAAACAAACGTTTCCTTATAAAAGTTGTTTAGTTTTGTTCTATTCTTCAAAAACTGCAAATTTTGGCTGATTTTGGGTGCTGCGCCGGGCCCCCCCCCCCCCCCCCCCCCCCAGGATCTGCCAGTGGCCAAAGGGGATACATTGACAGATAAAACTCAATTTGTGTTCACTACTGGACTAGCTATCTGTAAAACAAATTTTGTGTTAAATCAATGTTCAACCATTATTTTGTTCTACTACTTGCTGTTGTGTACCATAGTTATTTACTGTTACTTGATTTTGACGTTTCTGCCCTGTTAATATGGCTCTGGTTGGTGCAAAATGAATGTTATTAGTTAATTGAGTTTCTTATGTTGGCACATATTTTGTTATTTTAGGTAAAAATTCAGAATGCATGTGGTGTCTCAGTTACAGCATTACCCTGTTGACATCCCAGAAAGCAATTAAGTTGGTAGGTATTGGTAAAGCTGGGGTCACCTTTGCCGCTAACTGGTAAATGTGTAGATGAAGTTAGAGTAAAAAAAAAACATCTAACCTGACCTAACCTTACCTACTAACCTACAACCTACCAACCTACACACCTAAAACCTACCAACCTACAACCTAGCCTACCTACCTACTGCAGACAGTGATGCCAGCTTTACTGATACCATTAAGTTGATATCTGGCTAGGGGTACATTTTCTTGTAACCCATTAAAATGTGCATTAGTTGGTGCGCCCCTAACCTCCAACAAACAAACAAAATGTGCATTATTCCAAAAGCACACAGGTAGAAAACATTCAACTAACTCAACACAAATGCCTGGGCCTGCTTTCCCAATGCAGTAATGATTCCCTGCCACCTTTTAAGTCTGGGAACCACTGTGATGCTATAGTATTGGAACAAGCTATTAAGCAGGTAGAAATACCTTTAACAATATGGTTTCTTTCCAGGCTCGTGATGCTGGTAACCAGTCAGTGCAGGTGTTTGGCCGCAAGGTGAGCTTGTGCTTCAGATTCATGCTGAATTTGACTGCTAACTGCTATGCGCTTAAAGGCTACTGTGTTAGAAATCAGTTACAACATTTCATTTGATGCATTGTGATGCAATGCTTGGCATTTTCTGTGTAGTTCAAAGTAATGTTTTGTGATTATAAGATCATTCAAAATATGCTGAATAGTGAATACTAATGTTGCTATGCCCTCTGAGTGAATTGAATGTAGATTATGCTAATGGTACCTATGTTTATGCCTAGTCTTAGCAGAGTTAGGGCAAGTTTCATCTTAGTAAACAGGATAGATTGTAATATTGAATGAGGTTGATGACTACTATGAAGGACAAACATGCTTATATTGAAAAGGCTACGTTGGCATATAAAGCAATCCACATCATGGCTCCTGTGCCTTTTGTTTCACCTGAATGTTCATGTCAAAGAAGTGATCATGTATTTGTACCATTTGTTTCGCTTAACATTTATCTAACAATATTGTCCATTAGGCCTATTAATGCCCTCCCACCCTCTCTTCTCTACCCCAGTGGGGCTTTCTGCCTCCCTGAGCAGTGAGCCAATCATCATGGTGTGGGGTCAGGCTCCTGCCTCAATGGTGCGTGCTGTATGACTATTTGCAGCTCCTGCTGGGATGGTCTGCAGTGAGTGGCAGTGTTTGTATATTCATGAGTCATGTTTTAGAACATATGAAGTCAATCAGTGGGTCAAACATAAAAATGTCTGAAAAGTATTTTGCAGAGGAAACAAAAAGAGAAGCTTGCAAGCACTAAAACACTCAGCACCTCAGGATCATAACCTAGGGTCTGCACAAACAAGAGACAAAATCAAATCTAGATGTAATAACTAGTTATCTGAAAGTTATTGCCAAGCAATGCTTAACACCTGGTGAATTGCGAGCTGCTGAGTCAGAGTTGGTCAGAATCGATGTTGCATAGATTAGGATCATACTCGTCAAAGTATTTGCCATGCAAGGCCTTGAAATGCCCAAAGGGTTGTTGCATGCATTATAACCAGTATAGCGCCTTTTGGGGCGACTAACGGAGCGAGCGAGAGGGTGGGCCATGCACGTGCGAAATTGCGAGCTGGTACCTCCACTGACTTGTGCACGGCACTCTACTAACCGGTCTCTAGCGATGTGCCAAATTTGAGGACAATCGGCCCAGCCGTTCTCGAGATCTGGAAGCGGCGCCCTGCACGTGCGCACGTGCAAAATGGGTCCCAACTGACTTGTGCACAGCACCCTACTAACTACTCCGTAACCGTGTACCAAATTTGAGCGCAATCGGTCCAACCGTTCTCGAGGTCTGGAAACGACCCCTGCACGTGCGCACGTGCAGCAGCTTCCCAACTCTGGCACATGGATATGCATTGCCTAGTGGGTGCCTAGTTGCCTACCTACATGCCAACTTTCAGCGCAATCGGCCCAGTAGTTACCGAGATATTGCAAGTTGCAACTATTACAAAAGTGACACCTCTTCGTTTTGCACGTGGCACGTGCATAAGGGGTCACCCACATGCATCGGGAATCGTCCAAAACTTGGTAGAAGGAATGAAGCTACCCTACAAAAATTACCGCATGTAAATCGGTCAAGTGGTTGCTGAGATATAAGCGTCGCAGAATCGTGACCACGGCCGGCCGGCCGCTCATACTCAGAAATTTCCGTTATTCTACGTAAGACTCCGCTCGCTTCGCTCGCTCCGTAAAAACATCACTGACATGAACTTCACCATCATCACGTGAACTCGATGAGAGATGTCTGGAGTCTGGAGTCGGAACCCGGAGCAGGTACAGTTGGAGTCGCCGATAATCAACCGTCTCCGCAGCCCTATTAAATGCTAAATTCTGAAATGTCTCTAGCTTCAGTTTTGTGGAAGCTTCTCTACATCTCTAAGGAAGGAATGGTTTATGAATTACTTCGTTTGTTTCGTATTTTCTCATGTGATGTTTCTATTTCAGAAAACCGCCACGGCTGTGGCCCACTGCAAGCGCGGTCGCGGCATGATCAAGGTGAACGGCCGGCCGCTGGAGCTCGTCCAGCCCCGCTCGCTCTACTACAAACTGCACGAGCCCATCCTGCTGCTGGGCAAGGAGCGCTTCGCCGGCGTCGACATGCGCGTGCGCGTGAAGGGTGGCGGTTCCATCACCCAGGTGTATGCCATCAGACAGGCCATCTCCAAGGCGCTCGTGGCCTACTACCAGAAATGTAAGTGGCTTCACTGCTATGGCACTTCAGGGGCATTAGGGAGGTTCATTTGACATGCAGGCTTGTTTTCATTTACGATCTGACGTGGTTAATTGATTAGTCTGTCTGGAAATGGCCAGGGCAGTGAGCGCTTCGCCGGCGTCAACATGCGCGTGAAGAGTAGCGGTTCCTATTACGCTGAATCGCCCCTGCCCTATCCTAAAAAAACGTGATGTTGTGCTTAGGTTGATAAGCATTAATTGACCAAGGTAAGCTGTTTTCGTTATTACGAGCAAAGGCGAAGCGAGTCTTTTCAGTGTGACGGACAAATTTTTGCGATCGTGCATCCGTTTCACAAATGTTCTGCTCTGTTGGATAGCTACATCCCACCTGCCCCAGCATTGACTCCTACACGTAATGTGTCAACTCAGGGGTGTCCAAATTGTTCCACTAATAGAAAATGAAACTCCTTTATGGGTAATGCGCTGGAGCTCTCCTTGGGCAGCTCGGTGGGCAGTCGTGGGGCCGCGGACACCCATCAGAAAATGTTTTTCCATGGTTCACTACTGGGGTGCCACTGCACGTGCGCACGTTCAGGTGCAGCTTCTATGTCTCAAAAGCGGCTCGACCGATTGCACTCAATTTTTGTACACCGATGAAGGCCGGTTAGAAGTGTCTGGCAGTGTCTCAGAACCTACGTGCGTGCAGGGCCGCTTCTACATTTCGGCGAGACCAATGCGCTACAGGTGCGCTGTTTGGAACCGGCTAGGTTGTGACCTGCCTAAATCGGTTTTATTCTTATGTGCAGGGCTCATGACTGTTGCGTTCCCTTGTTCATCCCTCACAACTCGTTCTGCTGCTAATTTAAACGACCCTATCCTCGTCTTGAAACCTCTGGTCCAGTTCATTTTGGTTTTGCTCGGAACATTTTGCGGCACGCAGTTGGTCCCTTTGTTTTAAAAGTTTGACAAGCATTTACACTAATTGTGTCATATGACTGCTAACTGGCTGACTGACTGGCGACTAACCTACGCTTAAGGTGGAGGTCAGCTGTTGCTATATGTGACGGAAAGTTTAAAGTAAATATCGCCTCATTACTGATATCTCGTAGGTGAGCCCTATGGCGCTTAGAAGTCGCCCCGAAAGACGTCCTACTGGTTGCTACCAGGTTGAACTTGGACAGGGACACTGTAAGCTTGTTTCAGCCGATGGCGTTTAGTTTCATGATGATATTTTGAAACATTAGTTGATATTGAGCAAATATGTGAGGAAGGAAATATCGGGAGGAAAACATAGACTTGGCATACCCCTCCCCAATCGCTTGCTTACCTAAATCAAGTAGGGGAGAGTGGGGCAAAGCGGCCACCCGGGGCAAAGCGGCCACCCATCGTTTTAGCCCTTCATAGCTGGCGTCAGTTCCAATTTATGGTTTCCAATTATACTTCTCTTCACGGTCGTTCGAATGAGCCAGACCGGGGTTTCAGGCCCATCACCATTGTTCTGTGAAACACAGAAAAGCATTTCTTGCCAGGTTACCAACTATGTTTACAATTTTTAAATGTTATGTTATTTCATAACCGTTTGGAATTTTTATAAGCGTTCTTGTCCATGCATTGCATTGTTATCGTACATGTATTCTACCAATTTTAATGTTTTTTACCCCACTAATAGCTAAGCTGGAATATTTTTGTCTCGGACGGTATACGCGGGGCAAAGTGGCCGGGGCAAAGTGGCCACCCCCCAATTGGCCATAAGTTGTTTCCATCTGGATAAAAAACATTATTTATATTCAAATGTGTCGTCATGCATTCATCTTGGCCACTTTTCAGTTGCATGAGTTACCAAATAATGCCATTAAATGTTTTTTCATGAAAATCCTTTCTTTGTTTACCTACAGGTGGGATGCTAACAAAGCAAACATCCATCCTCGCTTAAACCTTGTCACCATCAAATACCCTAGTCGTACATGAGGCAAATATTTTGTTTCTCATATTGGGACTTGAGAAGACGCCGGTGGCCGCTTTGCCCCAGGGTATGGGGCAAAGTGGCCAATATGCATAGGTTTAAAGTTTTGTCAATATCTTCCATATGTGAACGCCTTTGGAAATAAAACGCAGTTGAAATGAAAGGCAACTTAATAGGGATCACATTGGTATAGAAAGAATCTTTCCAAGTTTAAAAATCAAGCATTGGCACCGTGAGAAGCGTTAGGGTGGCCGCTTTGCCCCACTCTCCCCTAGCTATCGAGGGATTTTTTACATCGAGCGTACGATACCCTCGCCCTTGCGTGCCCTTGGTTGATGAGTGTAGCAGGAACCGAGCTGGGGGGGGGGGGGGGGGGCGCTCTTCCCCGACCCACCCCTAAGCACTTCTTTGGTGTGGTGCTGGTCACTGGCACGATTTGCGTTGCAGACGGAATTGAACAACCACAAGTTGACGAGCAGCACGGGTGTTCGCTGCGACATTGTTAAAAGCCGATTGCAAATTCACCTAAGGTTGTTCGGATCACTCGCGGGACAAATTCTGATATACCATGCATTTGAATTGTTTAGGATGCTTCGACGCCATCCTTGATGGCTTTTCAAATCTGGTGCATTTGGTCAGTGGGTTATCGGCACATCTCTTTGTTGTGATGTCAGACTGCATATGGTGCACCATATGGAGTCTGAAAACTTTGAATGACCACGTTCTCATGGTCGTCCAACTTGGCCGTTTTCGCCGTATCCGTGTTAATTTCATCAGTGACGCCCCGGCTCACGTTTTATTGGGGTGATGTTGCTCTCCCCCCCCCCTCTCCAGTCCAGTGTCTGTCCACTGACGCTGCCCCGTAAACCCCAATCACCACCTCGACTGACCGGCCTGGTTATGTTTTTGGCAGATGTTGACGAGGCGTCCAAGAAGGAGATCAAGGACATCCTGATCCAGTACGACCGTTCCCTGCTCGTGGCCGATCCTCGCCGCTGCGAGTCCAAGAAGTTCGGCGGTCCCGGACCCCGTGCCCGCTACCAGAAGTCGTACCGTTAACTCTGCACCGTGTCGCGTCTTGTGTCCGGTCAATACAGGATTCGAGGCCGAGACAGCTGTGTGAGTGAGGGACAGGGTTCTGGATATCAAGCTATGGACAGTTGCTGCACAATGAGCACTAGCGTGGATGACGCCTTTGAGACAGCGGAACGAAGGCAATCCGTTTTAGGTGCCGAAATGCGCATTTATTGTGCTGGCCTTTCGTCGTTAGCAAGGGTCAAGCATATCATGCCAGTACCGGTGGGATAACCAAATAAGTAGTGAAGCACGAAAAACTTGACAGTTGTAGAGAGGGGTTCCGGACGAGAGAGTCGGTCGACGCCTACAGTCATGGGAGGGGGATTTTTTGCTGATATTATCGATTTTCACATAAGTGAGCGTTGCAAGATATTCCACAAGCATTCATAATCACAAAATTCTGTATCGTATCACATATTAAGTGACAAAGTTCATTTTTTTATTGACTGGGTATCGATCATCGATTAGCACGATCGCCGCTGGCGATTAGTGGTAGGTTCGAATGCTGACAGAGTTTAAACGAACCGGAACCGAAATCTGCCCTTATCTACCGGATGACAGCTCTGTTCGTGGTTCGCGTGGTACACATCACTCTGCGGTATGGGGGACACACGTAATCACCAATGCGGCCGCTGTTTCGGCGGCTCAGTAGAAGTCCGCCGACCTCCTGTTGGCCACGGCGGGTTCCTCGTCACGGGGCAGCGGCGGCTGCGACAGCGCGTCGAGCAGCACGTCCTCCTCGTGTTCCGAGTGCTGACGGTCCAGCCGGCGACGCACCATCTCCTCCGAGTAGCGCACCGTCGGAGGCGCCACCGGACTCGGCCGCCGCGGCCGGGACGCCGCGTGAGCCACCGCCAGCAGAGCGGCGCCCACCGCCAGGAAGACGCAGGTGCCGGCCACAGCCGCGTACACGACCAGCTGGACGCGCGCACGGGGTCGCCACACCACAGCGCGCTCCCGCAGTCGGTACGGCCGCCGTCGGTAGCAGCACACCTGGAACGCGTCGTCTTCGATAAAGAGCGCGCTGTTGAAGGCGCGCAGTCTGTCGAGCACGTGCGTTAGTTGGAGCGTCTGGTGGACGGTGAGCGTGATGTTGGCGGTCAGCTGGCGGCCGGAGTCGTCACAGGTGACGTTGGTGACGCGCGGGCCGGGCGGCACCACCCCGAGCACCCCGCGCTCCACGCTGACTGGAGGGGGTCCTGGCGACCGGCATGGGCCGTCCAGGGTCACCGAGAGCCACTCGACTGGGCTGACGCGCTGTCCAACGGCTGTGGGTGACAACGGCACACAGTCAGATCTGGGAGCACTGAGCACCCGGCGGGAAGACTTTCACCGTGCTCTCTGGAAGCTGTGGGCATCAGCGACGAATCATATAGGTGTTAAGCCATAGACACACTAAACGACGGGTGAGCGGGTATTGTAAATGAATTTCCACCTCCTTTCTCGGTAACTTTTTGTCCCCGACCATCCATTCGTTCACCGTCGACCGTGGTCGGGGAAGGGGGCGTGTATTTAGTGTGCAGGTGACCGACCGACCGACCGGCGCCGGATCAGGTCGGTGTCGGGTGACGGAGCTGCAGCCCTCCCCTCCCCTCTCCTCTCCCCACACACCGTACGCTGTGGCTGTGGACAGTGCTCCTGTCGCACTGTCACGGTCACCAACGATGTCGATTCGCAACGTACTTGTTGAACAGTGGAAAGGTGACGGTGCAAACAGCGAACAGTTTGTGCTTATCACGGGGATAAGATGTCGAGTGGCAAATCTATTCTCATTAAAAAAGAATGCATTTCTCCATCTCCACCTTACACTTACCCATCGGCCAGGCAAAGAAGGCTTGCACGATGGCCAACGTCCTCGCCATGGCGACTGGCGAACACATGGGTGAAGGACTCAGAGTGCGCTCGGTCAGAACGGGGCTCAGGGGTATCACAGCGGTCGATGGGACTGGTGTTGTACGGCAAGGCAAGAAAACGGGAGTGTCCCGGCTGGACAGGGGAGTGTCCCGTTGGGACAAGGGATCGGGAGTGTCACAGTGGGACAGGGAATCGGGGGTGCCACAGAAGACGGAACGCGAGCAGGAGTCACGGCAGGACAGGTTACTGTCGGCGTCACAGCGCGGCGGTCGGCAGTGCAGAGAATCGGTCACAACAGCCGCCGTTCGGTCACTGGATCAGGTTGCTCCCGGGCACCTACGCGTTTGTGCGCCCGGTTACGCCCCCTGTGTAGCCGGCTTACGCTTCGGGAATGGGGGGAGTCAGTCGGGACTCGCAGCAGTTTGACCCGTTTCGACCTAGAGATTCGTGAGGAAAGGAACATGCGAATTGCTGGCGAGCCGTGAGTCGCACTCGCGGCGAAGCCGTTAGTATGAGTAAGAGGAATTGACTCATGCTATGGTCAATGAGACCCGTGCACCATTTATACTACATCATACCTCGCACGGGCAGAAAACGACCTTTCAGATGACATCAAGATGACAACGGAACGAAATAAAGTGAGAAAGCACAATTCAGTCATTGATGCTTCTTGTCGATTTGAGTTTTTGCTTTTCTATGAGCAATTGCTCATACAACGTCACGGTTGAGGTCATACAACGTCACGTCAAGCAAGGGTCATGTTTACGTGCCCCGCTGACTCATTCAGTGCTTTTGTAGGCTCAAAGCTAAATGAATCTGTAATTTGCAACCAAGTAAGCTGAGTAAGTTGTAACACAGCTAATCGTTGACATATTATTCTTCATCTATTGCTTTGCTCCGCTGCACTCATGCTACACTAAGTTTGTTTGTATTTTTGCTCGGGTAAAAGAAGTGACTGTCACCTGTTTTCTGTTTGACGGCGGTGGCACCTAGTAGAGTAGAAATGCTTGCGCCATGATTGGAACCGAACCACGAGGTTTGGCGCAGCTCGCTTGGATATTGTGAATTGAGCAGTGTATTGGCGCGTGGTCGAGAAGTATAGGGACACGCCTAAGAGCTGGACTTTTTGATGACGTCTTCGGGTGACGTCATGTCGTGTGTGACGTTTCGTGAGCAGGTAAGGAAAAGTCACCACCGCTGGCGAACATTTAGTGCGGTAAATGGCAAACACAAATGCTGCGCAGAAAAAACAAATGTGTAACTTCAGACAACATTCGTTCGGACGACAATGTGATGTCAAGGCGAATCAAGAAGTTCTTCATGCGATTGTTAGTTATCTGTCGTGCTAACTTATTAGCAGTTGAGTTGTGAAATGTATTATCAAAATCAATGTTTATTGAACGCAGATTCAGTTTATTTTCAGATGTACCTAGGTACCCTTACACTTCACTCATCTCAAGCTGTTCAAACACCCTTGACAAAGTCGATTAAGATGAAACGTTGGGTATAATTTATACTGTGTTTTCTCTGCATTATTAACATATTCATCATATATACAATATAAGGGCCACATGCTTTTTACAGGGAGACATGTCAGACAGCCCAGTAGGATGAGGCTTCGTCAAGCGTCATTTTTAGCAAAGCTTTTCTTGCTTAAAATCCAGTCTGCAAAACATGGCAGGGCTTACACTTTGGCTTACACTTGACTCCCAGCTGTTTTGTCTTTGCTATGCGATGTTAAACATATAAAACATCTTACTATTCATGTATGCGCCATGACTCATGTAATCTTTTCACAGCCAACACGCTCCTAATGTACTGGGAATGTGGGGAGTGCAGCAGCATCAGTGCAGCACCAATGGTCAGATGCGAAGGCTGTGATAAATGGTACCACTTCCGTTGCGCGGGACTGTCTAAGGAGCCAGGTAAGCGCAAATGTTTTCTGTCTCAGTCTTTTTGTTGCAGCTATAGTGATCAATGAAATATTTTCTGCACTGTTCAGCCAAACATGTATTTCAAACAATCTGCTTCCCAACCAAGGGCGTCGCCACAGGGGGGGGGGACGGAGGGGATCTCGTCCCTCCACTTTTTAAAATTTTTAACATTACGCCTATGGCGTTGCATGGAAAGAATCAACTTGAAATGGTCCGAGCCCCTCCAAAATGGTCAATGTCCCCTCCAGTCGTCGCACCGTGGCGTCGCCCCTGTTTCCAACTACACAGATTTAGTCAAACAATGTGCCAATATGGAATTTTCAGGTTCAGTTGAATGAAATAGGAACAATGATAATTGTAGATTACGTATACCTGCAAGAGAGGAAAACAGAATACATTGTATTGCTTGTCCTTCACCGATACTGTTATTTTTCCATTTCTAGAAACACCGACATGGCGATGCAGGTGGTACTGCCTGGTGAGGCCGCGGTCTCCGGAATCGCCTGCAGACGAAGTCACCTGGCGTCCATCTGCACATCACTTGCAGAAGTGAGGCCTGCTGACAGCGTCTGGCAGTGTCGGCAACGTGCCAGACAGCTATCTGGAGTCCTGCTCACCGCAGGTCGCCGACAGGAGGGGCGACGCATCGTCTCCGAGGTCGCCTCAGCATCAGTGAGACCCCACTGGCCGTCTTCTTAGGCTTCAACTAGATTGCGAACAACCTATGCTGAGACAACGCCCATGACGTGTGATCCGGTACCGCTACCGCACTGCGTGCCTGTGCCCGCCGTGAGCCGCTAGTGCATGGGTTCGACCATGAGAATGTGTGTTTATGTTGCTTTTACTATTGTTTATACGTTGAAGTGACGAATTGTTTATTTTTCGCAAGCCTCCGCTGTCCGGTTGCCTGCAGCTCCATGCAACGTCAGCTGTACTGTTGTTTTAATGTTGTCTCTCCGCTCAGCTGTACTGTTGCCTCTCCGCTCATAACAACCTATGCTGAGACAACGCCCATGACGTGTGATCCGGTACCGCTACCGCACTGCGTGCCTGTACCCGTCGCAAGCCTCCGCTGTCCGGTTGCCTGCAGCTCCATGCAACGCCAGCTGTACTGTTGTTTTAATGTTGTCTCTCCGCTCAGCTGTACTGTTGCCTCTCCGCTCATAACAACCTATGCTGAGACAACGCCCATGACGTGTGATCCGGTACCGCTACCACACTGCGTGCCTGTGCCCGCCGTGAGCC